ACCTGTAACATTGTGTGGGTTGATTTTGTGACCCGTTGAACGACAGGGCTGGAAATTTTCCCTCCTCTGCTCCTTATATGAGATGAAAATTTTCTGGAAATTTTCCAGATACACGCCTCCAACGTTGATTCTCGAGGTGGGGGGGAATAGATGGGCATGTTTGTGCGTGTGCTATTCCAAAAGTATAACGTGAATTATTATTATTCTTAGATATTATTACTCATTTTTTCCCGTTTCTGATTAGCTAGAATGCGGCCAGCGCAAATCTTTCAAACCAGCTAGCGTTGACCAGATTTGAGAGACGTTTTGGAATATCCAATAAAACAAAATCAATAGAATAAGCTATCGCCAGAAAAAAAGGGACATTAACCGAGACGTCCTGGGGCACAAGGATTCGTTAGCTCAGTTGTTTTTGTAAAGCTGGAGAAAATGGGCAAAAATTTTGATTTTTTTATACCAGGAACAAATAGCCCACCTATTGGACTAAAATGTGGCAAAAACATGAGAAACAATTAAGGAATTTATCTTGAAACGGCGTCTTTTCGGCATAATGTGTACGCCAGAAACTTATTTTCAAGTATTAAGTTAATCATAGGGATTTGTGATCCTGGTGCTCAGTTTCTAGTAAACTGTTTCGAAAAAATTGTTATGGCAACAAACAATAGCGGATTTAATTCAACCTACTTGCTTGTAAGTGAAGAGCGACAGGAAAGAGAAAGAAGAGCGACAGGAAAGAGAAAGAAGAGAAAGAAGAGAAAGGCAAAGAGCGAGAATTAACAGGCGAGCTAGCGAAGAGGATTCAAGTGGAAAATTTATGCAGAATCTGATACTTGTTTACTAATAGCTGAAGCTGATAGAGTTTTGTGTCATCTTGTGATGTTTTTACCTGTCTTTTTGCACTTGATCTACAAAATGAAATACAGCTGTTATCAACATTCTTTTGTTATTCTTGTTTATTGGGTTGTGGTTGAGAAAAGCACCGCTCGACAAAAAGAAATCGAAAATCATCGTTTTCAAAAAAAAAAAGGTACTCTTAGTAAGCTTACTTCGCCTTGCTGGAGTATGCGATCAGTCTTAAGCGATTCTGCCGTTACTTGATGGGTTTCCGAACTGCATATATCTCGACCAGTAAGCTTGAGTAATTGCATTGCATTTGGTGTGTTTTATTCTGGTTTCATGGTTATGCCGTCATTTTACGCACATTTGTAAGATTTGAGACAATTTATCTGACCTGGTGAAGAACTTAAAAAGTCTTTAGACATTTTCTGATCGCATTTAGAAAGAAAACGTCCTGAAAAATAGTTTAGTTATCCTATTTTTTGTAAGAAGAAAGCTTTGAGCGATATTCTTTTTTTTTGTTTTTAACCTGTTGCCAGGTTTTTCTGTTCTTATTATTATTACTGGCTGAGAAAAAAGCCTAAGAAATACTTCCTGTAAAAATCAGCGGTAATTCCTTACCCACGCGTGCATAGTCATTAGTGTGTGAGCTTCAGCTGTGTTGTGTAGTTCCGTACTAGAGGTTAAAACTGTTTGGAATCCTCAACCATCCTAGTTGTTAATAAAGATTATTACATGGTGTCAGAAGTAAAGCACGAGAAGTAAATTCTGCGACAGAAGAGTGAGGTTTGGAACGAAGACAGAACGCAAAGTCCAGCTATTGACATCGGCGATTTGGAAAAGTACATCTCCCAAAAAACGGCAGCTGGAGAAGAAAATCTCCGCCACGTGCAGATAGAGGAAGAAAACGCACTCGAAGGAAACGGAAATACACTGGCAGAAGACATTAAATGATGGAAATACTACTGAAGGAAACGCCGAAAATACGGATGAAGACGACTTCGCGATTACAAATGAAATGGCATTCCATTTAGGCCTGCCTTCCCCGGAACCACTCGATCTGCGAGGCGGAAACTTCTCAGAAAACTTGAAGAAGTTAAAACAAAAGTACAAAAATTACGAAATTGCAACTGGCATAAACATGGAGGAAAGTGCAACCAGAGTAGCTACGCTGCAAACAGTCATTTGCAACGATGCTATCGATGTTTTTAACACTCTGACATGGGATACAGAAGGTGATGACAAAAAAATCGACAAAGTATCGGAGAAACTCGAGGAATACTGTGAACCAAGGAAAAATGTCAGTTACGAGAGATACAAGTTCTTTTCAAGCGGCCCAGAAAAGTGGCGAAACCATTGATCAATATGTTACTGTGCTGAGAAAGCTGAGTGAAACATGTGGATTCAGTACATTGAAGAACTCCCTTATCAAAGATAGAATTGTACTTGGCATCTGTGACACCAAGACAACAGAGAGATTACTCATTTCAGACCTCACCCTGGAAAAGGCAATAGATAAGGTTCGATCTGCAGAGGCAACAGAAATACAACAAAGAGACATGGCAAACGACCCAGCCGTGCATGGAATTGGAGTGGCAAAGAAAAAACCACCATTCAGAAAGGAACCCCCAGCTAACGAATATAGGCCTAGCTCAAGCAAGATATTTAATTACAGAAATCGTGGCACAAGACATGGTGTAAGAGAATGCCCAACATATGGCAAGACATGTCACAATTGCAAGAAACAGCATTATTTCCAGAGCATATGCTTGTCACAAAAAGACGTCCATTGACTAATGGCAGACAAAGAAGAGGAGAATGACTGTGAGCCTCCACTGTTTGTAGGAGCAGTCATTACAGAAGTTCAGATTCAGAAAGACGAGTGCTATGTGACTTTACCGGTACAGGGACATCTCATGCGACAAAAAGTGGACACTGGTTCGCAAGTGAACATTATGCTACTAAAGGAACTCTAGAAGATTGAAGGGGACAACCCCCAAATGGATCTGTGAAACCAAAAACTGATAAGATAATCTAAAGGTACTAGGAATCATAAAATTGCCTGTGAAATGCAAGTCAGCTGTTGAACAAGAGCTAACGTTCCATGTAGTGGAAACAAATCAGCCAGAATTACTGGGACTTCGTTCCTCGCAGAACTTGGGTCTAATTAAAGTTATCACGGCAGCAAAAACAGAAAGGGAAGAAACCGCCACTGGTAATGGCAGCCAAACTACAAGGACATCTCAAGAACTGAAAGAAGAGGTCCTTCAGAAATATGCACAAGTCTTTACTGGTCTGGGTCGTTTAGAGAAAAGTTACCACATTTTAATTGATCCAACTGTTTCACCAGTTATAAATGCTCCTAGAACAATACCAGCCGCACTTCGAAAGAGAGTGAAAGCAGAGTTGGATGACATGGAGAAGCGAGGAGTGATACGCAAAGTCAACGAACCCACTGACTGGGTTAATTCAAGGGCCATTGTTGAAAAGCCTGACGGTAGTTTGCGCATTTGTTTGGATTCAAGACTTCTGAACAAGGCTGTAAAAAGAGAACATTTTCAACTACCCACCACTGAAGATATCACGACCCGTATGGCAAACGCAAAATAGTTTACCAAGTTAGATGGAAATCGAGGCTATAGGCAAAAACCACTAGATGAGGAGAGTAAACGTCTTACCACCTTCAATACGCCATTCGGAAGGTTTTGCTATGAAGTTACCCCATTTGGCATTAAATCTGCTCAAGAAGGTTTTCAGAAGCGAATGAGTCAATACTTTGGTGACCTGGAAGGTGTTGAAACTGACATTGATGACATAATTGTACAGGCTGACACTGAAATGAAACATGGCTGTCGTCTAAACTCAGTTCTGAATCGATGTAAGAAGTTTAACTTGACAATAAATTAAGTGTCTTAACTGAGAATGGAGGTCCCGTTCTGAAGTTTTTTGATGTACAAAAACCAGTAACCATCAGTAGCGATGCCTCACCTACAGGCCTCGGCGCGGTCTTACTGCAAGACAATTGTCCCGTGGCTTACGCATCAAGATCTTTAAGTGAGGCCGAATCAAGATATGCGCATGGAACTCTTGCCAGTTCAGTTCAGCCTGGAGCGCTTCAACCAATACACGTATGGAAAGAAAGTGCGCGTAGAATCAGCGCCCAAACCCCTGGAGATAATTGCGAAGAAGCCCTAAGCGACAGCACCACCCAGACTACAAAGAATTCTGCTCAGAATGCAAAAGAACGACTGCAGACTAGAATCCAATTCAAGCCTTCCAGTCTCAAAACCCAAACTTGAAGAAATACGAGAGGAAAGCAAATCAAACGTGGTGGCCAGAAACAATGGCCTGTGTCAGTAACAGTTACCGCCTGTATTGGGACATGAGATATGAACTGTCTGAACTGAACGGTATCATTCTAAGGAGTGGGATAATTCTTATCCCTACCTCTATGCGGAAGGAGATGTAAGAGAGAATTCGTCAAGGCCACATGGGCATAGAGAAATCCAAGCGGCGAGCACGAGATGTGTTTTACTCGCCTTGGATGGATTCTGAAATTCACGAAAAGATCGCAAGATGCAGTATATGCCAAAAACACCAAGGACTCTACACAAGCCTCTAGGCTTTTGCGTTGTTGAAAGGAATTCTTCGATGTGTTTGATGAACGGGACTCACATTTCCATCGATATGCAGCTTAACTTCAACATTCTTCATTTTTCTAAGACCAGTGAACAGACTAGGATACCGCTGGAATACGTTTTTCTCCACTGATACAGCATTTGCAATCTGAAGTATTCCTAACTCTGTGGCCGTGGCGTATCCCAGAAGAGACGTTCCACTCTCCACCACAAGAAATTCAGCGTCGACTGTACTACACTTTGATTCAGTGAGGGCTGAGAACTTTCCTATCATGGGAAGCGGGGCAGATGAATTGAAGGCATAGACCCTTGTACCGCAGGGTTGCAGATCGACACCAAAAACTTTAACTGCATTGGAACTTACAATGTTTACACTCAACCCAGAGTCTACCAAGAACTTGCACACAACACCGTTCACTTTCAAAGAGACAAAAGGAGCACTGACCTTTGAGGCGGGGACTTCTATCCTAAATGCATACTCATCATCAGAGCTCGACAAGGTCTCACGTTCCTCACATTCTGCTTTCAATCGGTTAACATTTGGTTTTTTCTTTTCCTTGAGATTACCACGTCCACGGGACTGCTTTCCTTTTCGGGAATTTCGGGTCTCACGTGACTTTTGCGTGCAGCATTTCGCATAGCGAACATATTTATGACAGCCGTTGCACTTGCGATTTCGCGCGGGACAACCCGTCTTCGAGTCGTGTGGCCAAATTCCACCGCAATTGAAACAATTTTTCTCGGCTGTGATGGAGTAGGAAGCACAGCGTTAGCCACATTTCCCGACGATTCGATATCCTTTGCTTGCGTTTCCGAGATTTCCAGAGCTCGTGCCTCATTCAATAAGGTCTCAAGTGTCATGGTTGTATCTCTCAAAGCCTTGCGACGAAGACGCTTTGATGAACAGGATAAAATAATCTGCGATTTAATTTTCTTGTCGACGTCCCCAAATTCACAAGAAGCAGATAATTGACAAAAACGAGAGCGAAATGCATTAATGGACTCTCCTGTGTTCTGTCGGGCTTGACGAAACGTATAAATTTCATACTCGACATTCTTCTTCGGGTCGAAATATTCCGTGAGCTTTTCTTTTGCCGTAGCAAAATCGTCACCTGTGTCCACTAAAGTTTCAAAAATCTCTCACACTTCTTCTCCGGCGTGGTAAAGAAGCAAAGCTCGCTGTCTTTTCTTACCAGTGGTGGCAGCAGCGACGAACAGATTTCCAAGACGTGTGATCCACTTTCGCCAGCGTTGAGCGATTGCACCATCAGCATGGATATCAAAAGGATCGACGTTTGGAAGAGCGAAGGCTATCATAAAATCGGCAAATCTATCACAAAGACCTTTCCAGTTACCTGCAACAACGTTCCATCCTCGTCGCCAATGTAATGGGTTGCTATTCTACACAAAGTGAATTAGCAAGACACGACAGTCGAGCACATGTTCAACAACTCACTATATTCTCTACAACCCCGGCATGCTTCGCGCGTCATGCCACACGTGACGTAAACATTACAGATTCCACTCTTTTTCAGTGGAACTTGGATTCTGGATTCCATTCCTTGGTGGGATTTCGGAGTACTTGACTGAGCTCTGTTCTGGATTCCAAAGCCCTGGATTCCGGATTCCACGAGCAAAATTTTCCGGGATTCTGGATTCTACAAGCAAAAATTTCCCAGATTATAGAATCCGGATACCCTTACATGACGCAAAGTATTAGTCAAACATTTTCATACCTGTTCACGCATATTTAATTAAGCAGTGGGAAATTTACTTTTCTTGTAACATTCGATTTTAAAATGTGATGGATCGGAGTAACTTTTGGTCAATGCAGCTTTTTCAGACTGGACCTCATTTTAAACTAGAAGAGGTCTGGTTCTGAAAATAAATTTTTTCGTCTTGACAAAACAGACTGAACACGAATGTTCAGGGCAGTGGGAAATTAAATGAAGCTTGGAAAGGTATCTTTTACTTGCTGAACTAATTTTTGAACAATATATATCATTGGCGAAGGGAAAAAGAGAACTTTAACATAGTTTTGTTGGGAAAATGAAGCATGTCTTACCTAAAAGTAGAAAGTATTTGAACAACTGAGAATTTTGCTGTGACAGCAGCCGGTACTGTCACGCAACGCAAATTGAACATTTGGCTGAATTTGAGTTGAAACCTTCAATTCTGAATCGCTATGTGCCGCAAGTATTAGCGCATAACTAGACAAAATAGCTATCAATCTTTAACAAAAACATGTTTTTAGGTCTCACTTAGGTGTCACATTGGAGAATTTCCTGATGATTTTGAGGCATTTATTCGTGTAATTTGCTTTCTTAATTGGATTAGTGAAATAAAGACGACCAGTTTTTGCTGATTACGGAAAGATAATGCCTAAATGGTACTGGAAGAGTAAGAAGAAGTAAAATGCTTCCAAATGAGTGCAAATAGTCTAGGATTTGATGACCCGAAGTACTTTTAAGCGATCGTTAAAAAACCTGTATAACAGAGACTACAATTTGCATATTTTAGCCGCTAACGGTCGTCCAGCAATAAAATGCTAGGAATGGCAGTAAAATAAACAATTTCCTCATTCTAACGTCACTTTCGTTACTACGATTTATAGTAGTATTGATGGTAAAAATATAAGGCAAAAGCTTTGTCGAGTCCGAAATCGAGTGGAATGCTTTTAGGTAGACTGCCTCTTAATAGAAAATAGAAAACGGCTACCGAAATGCAGAGATACTTTCGAGAACGAGAGCAATGTAAAACGTTCATCGGATAGAGAGGAAGAGGAGGAGGAGACGTTTCTGCGAATGGCAGTGAAGATAAAGACGCACCCAAGAGAGCAACAACGACACTGAAAACGACAGTCAGGAAACAGAAAGTAGTAGCCCTGAAACGTCTACAACCATACACTCTTAAAATTCCTGTGAAAATTTTGAGAAGTCTAATGTGTACGGGACATTGATCATGAAATGTCCTAAATGTTCTTCGCATGATTACCACAAAATTTGTCCTATATGCGATCACCAGATCCCCGAAGAGGAAAATTACATCAAAGAGGGCTTACATCGGTGTCACGATTGTGGAGCCATAACACACAAAAACGCGAAGACGTCGAAAGCCAGTTTTTATTCCCTTTTCAAAGAGGAGGACGAAAACTGTATTTCGTGTCTGTTTCTTTTTTTGCTAGCGTTAATTATTCGCGTGTTTTAATTGATCCTTGTCAAGTTATTAATTGTTTTGTGTTTTTATAATAATAAGACAAGGTTCTCCCTTAGGTTTTTTTACTGTGAATGAAATTTGTATGCAACTGTGGGCTTGTTAACTCGCATAATTAAACGACTTTAACAGAGGGTGAATTGACAAGACCATAAGCTAACCAAGGGCTGAGACTTCAATAGTTAGTCGTTTCCACGAGATAGAACGGAGAAAATGGTTTTGTTATTTACAGTCCGTCAAAATTGAAATAAAGAGTTTTCAGCTCCACTTTCTGTGTGTGTGTTTTGTTTGTATATTCGACTTTTTTTTAGTGCTAAATAGAAGACATGGGCCGTTTCTCGTGACTGATGTCCTTTGGACATTCAATGGATCATCGTAAGACAAAACAATAACAACTAACCATATGCTAAATCTTGTACTTTCAGAATATTATTTCTTTTCCTCAGGGTATATAAGGCTTGTTCTGCAAGCTCCCTTATGTCAAGTTTAATGCACCGGCATATGTGGGCAACTCCTCTTACGACGGGTCTGAGGCTGTTCCCATGGGAAGTCCACCCGGAGGGTGGTAACTGTAGAGAGTTTTACCGGCGACTACAGGCTAAGTTCGCTTGAGGGACCGAGTTATCTGCGGGATATCAGGTTCGGGCAGATGGAACTCTTTATCCTTGGCCGGAAGCCCATCTAGAAGAGGGAAACTTCGAACCCAAACCAGGCTTGGAAAGGGATGGGCTCCGTCAGGCTTCATTTGCCCATGATACGCTACATGAAATTACAACCATTTCTCAATCCATACCGGATCGGTCGTCGCCCGGGTCAAAAGGGACCGCACCTTCCGTTGCTCAGCAGGACGGAGATGAGAAGTATGCGACTGGGGTAACAACTAGCAAGATACGTGTCAGAAACAATATCACTATTGGCGCCTGGAACGTGAGAACCTTGCGAATGGCAGGCAAATTGGAAGAATTGTCGTTTGAGCAGGTACCGCTGGAACATTTTAGCATCTTTGGTCTCTGCGAGGTACGATGGAAAAACTTTGGCGAGACATCCACTGAGGAGGGTCTTAAATTATACTTCAGTGGCAAGGAGGACAAACACGAACAAGGCGTTTAATTTCTTGTTCACATCGTGAACACTGTCATGATCTGCTGTCCAGTCTCAAGCAGGCTTATCACCATCCGCTTGAGGTCAAGTCCATTTAACATCACAATTATACAGGCCTGCGCCCCTAACCCGGACTATGATGATGATGATGCAGTTGAGGACTTCTGTGACCATCTGCAGGAAATCTTGGACCAGTCCCCTGAGAAAGACATCCTTGTTGTGTTAGGCGACTGGAATGCCAATGTAGGAGAGAATGCATTCAAAAACTGGAAAGGCACTTGTGGACGCTACTGCAACCCAGAGACAAACGAGAGAGGTCTAAAGCTTCTGGAGTCTGCTTGCGACAACGATCCTGTGCTGGCGAATACACTTGGCAAACACAAAGTATCCAGAAGATGGACATGGCACAGTCCAAATGGAGGATACCATAACCAGATTGATTATATAATGGTTAGGACGCGCTTCATGACCAATGTAAACACCGCTAAGACAAGAAGCTTCCCAGGAGCTGACATAGGAAGCGACCATGATTTAGTGATGATGTCTTTTCGGCTACCTTTAAAGAAGATAAAAATGCAGGGCCCCACAAGGGTTAAGTTCGATCTTGAGAAGCTCAAAGACACTCAAGTTGCTGATACCTTCCAAGCAATGATTGGTGGTAAATTTTGTGCACACTTACCTTGCTTGATGTAGATGACACAGAAGTGGACACACTCGTTAACACCTTCAATAAAGCAATGACTGAAACAGCTAGTGAAATCTTAGGCAAACGCAGAGCAGTCAAAAGACCGTGGGTCACAACGGGCACCCAGATCTATGGAAAGAATGAAGAGCACTGAAGAAGGGGAGGTACGAGACAGCAGAAGGGGCAAGAAAGTACAGAGCAATTAACCAGAAAATTAAGAAGAGCATAAAAAGGTAAAAGAGTCTTGGATTGATGTACAGTGTCAAGATGTTTAAGATAACATCGGGAAGAACAATAGCAAAAAAGCAAATCAGCTGGTAAAAACTCTGACTATTACAAAAAGAGGGAAGACCAACACCATACAGGACAAAGACGGGAAATGCCTTAGCGAAACTAACGACATTATAAAGAGGTGAAAACAATACTTTGCAGAACTGTACAGCCACACAGTTGTAGGTGACCGTAGGTGACACTAGTAACCGACACTGCGAAGTAGCCAATCTTGAGGGAAGAGGTCGAAGCAGCTGTGAAATCGCTCAAGAAGGGAAAATCTCAAGGGATAGACAATATCCTGGGAAAGCTGGTACAGGCAGGAGTAGATGCCGTGATGAGTGCCTTGCGTAAAATCTGCAATAAGATATGGCAGACAGGAGAGTGGTCCATACCATAGACTCAGTCTCTTATCATCACCCTTTCCAAGAAAGGCAACCTTCAACAGTGGAAGAACTACCTCACGCTCAGCCTAATATGCCACCCAAGTAAAGTCCTGCGGAAGGTGCTGTTAAATAGGCTGAAGCCTCAGGCAGCATCGATCATCGCAGAAGAACAGGCAGGTTTCCGATCAGGTCGCAATGCGACAGAACAGATCTTTAGTCTTAGGACACTGTGCGAGAGGTACCTCTAACATCAACAAGACCTCTATCGCGTCTTTATTGATTTTAATAAGGCGTTTGACAGAGTATGGCGTAAAGCCCCTTGGTCTACTATGAGGCTTTATAAC